GAAATTCTTATAAATATAAATTTATGAATAAAGCACATTATGGGAAAATGATAATTGTGAAACAATGTGTTTCAGCTCTGTTGGCCGGCTAGAGGAACACGTTCATGAACAAAAGGCCTTGCTTTCAGCCATAAATAAGAAAGTAGTTAGAACGGCTGAAGGTGCGATGCATTTTTCAGCCTCTAGAAGGTGTCATCAGATAAAAACACTGGATTTATGCTTTAAAGTCATATTATGCAAATGTTTCATATTTTTAAATCATTTTCTTGAGCCAGTATGTGCTAAAATAACCCTGTACAGCAGTGGTACTCAATTCCGAGCCTGGAGGACCGGTATCCAGCATATTTTAGATTTAACTCTGTTTCAACACCTGATCTCAATCTGCAATTAATTAACATTGTTCTGCAGAGCCTGATGAGCGGCTGCGCAAGTGATTTAACCTCTAAATCAAGTGTGTTGGGGACGAGAAACAACTGAAATGCTCTGGATGCTGGCCCAGATAGGGTTATGAAATGTAACTCGGAACACCCCCCCCCCCCCCCCTTATTTTTTGTATTTATTTTTTCCCTGTGGCCAAAATACCACACTTGCAACTTCAGAGTGCCGGCCAAGTCCCTGTTGGACTTAGTAAAAGTGGAGCTTACAAGCCATGCCCTGAAGTCTGTTTCCAGCATGTTTCCTGCTTGTTTTAGATCATGGAAATGACTGATTTGTTTGGTTTACTGATGAATCACTCCTCTAGAAACTAATGAAGGCTGGGAAGAGAATTTAGCTGTTATATTAAGCTGTTACATATATTAAAATGCACCTGTTTAACTAACAGACACTAGGGGTTCTAAAAGCAAGCCAAAATTGTTTAGTATGCCTTTAATGAGACCTTTTTTAAGAAGTGTTTTTTCCTTGCCACCGTCCTGAATAAGCTACATTTTTGGAGCATATGTGAAATAGTTTTGACATCTACAGAATGGCCTCTCTTTGTCATGAAGTTCTGTAACTCCTTCAGACTGGCCAGATGCTGATGGATTATGTCACATGTGTTCAAGTTATAATGAATGGCTGGTTATTCTAAACAAATGTTCAATTCCATATTAATAAAATTGGTCTTTCTGCAGCTCCTAGCTGAACTGTATTTCTTAGACTTAGATTTTTACACATCATAAACATTAATGATAAACTCCTCCTTGAACCGTCACCTTATCGTGGTGGAGGAGTTTGAGTGCCCTAATGATCCTAGGAGCTATGTTGTCTGGGGCACTTAGTGCCCCTGGTAGGGTCTCCCATGACAAATTGGTCTTAGGTGAAAGGTGAGACAAAGAACGGTTCGAAGGATCTTTCATGGCGGTTAAAACGAAGAGTCGGAGTACCCGGCCCGGAGGGTTACCGGGGTCCAACCCTGGAGCCAGGCCTGGGGTTGGGGCCCGTGAGCGAGCGCCTGGTGGCCGGGCTTTCGCCCATGGGGCCCGGCCGGGCCCAGCCCGAACCGGATACATGGGCTCGTCCAACTGTGGACCCACCACCCGCAGGAGGAACATGAAGGGTCCGGTGCAATGCGAATCGGGTGGCAGACCAAGGCGGGAGCCTTGGCGGTCCAATTCCCGGACAAGAAAACTAGTTTTTGGGACATGGAACGTCACCTCGCTGGCGGGGAAGGAGCCGGAGCTTGTGGCAGAGGTTGAGCGGTACCGGCTAGATATAGTCGGACTCACCTCGACACATTGCATTGGCTCTGGAACCCGAGACCTGGAGAGGGGTTGGACACTCTACTTTGCTGGAGTTGCTCCGGGTGAGAGGCGGAGGGCTGGGGTTGGCTTTTTGTTAGCCCCAAGACTCTCTGCCTGTGTGTTGGGGTTTACCCCGGGGGACAAGAGGGTAGCTTCCTTGCGCCTTCGGGTCGGGGAACAGGTCCTGACTGTTGTTTGTGCTTATGGGCCAAATATCAGTTCAGAGTACCCACCCTTTTTGGAGTCCCTGGGACGAGTGCTAGATAGTGCTCCATCAGGGGACTCCATTGTCCTGCTGAGGGACTTCAATGCTCACGTGGGCAATGACAGCTTGACCTGGAGGGGTGTGATTGGGAGGAACGGCCCACCTAATCAGAACTCGAGCGGTGTTTTGTTATTGGACTTCTGTGCAAGCCGCAGTTTGGCCATAACGAACACCATGTTCGAACATAAGGATGCCCACCGGTACACTTGGTACCAGGGCAGCCTAGGTCACAGGTCGATGATAGATTTTGTAGTCGTATCATCTGACCTGCGGCTGTATGTTTTGGACACCCGAGTGAAGAGAGGGGCGGAGCTGTCAACTGATCACCACCTGGTGGTGAGTTGGATCAGATGGCAAGGGAACATGCCGCGTAGACCTGGCAGACCCAAACGCATAGTGAGGGTCTGCTGGGAATGCCTGGCAGAAGAACCTGTCAAGACGGTCTTCAACTCCCACCTCCGGCAGAGCTTTGACCACGTCCCGAGAGCAGTGGGGGACATTGAGTCCGAGTGGGCCTTGTTCCACTCTGCGATTGTCGAGGCGGCTGTTGCTAGCTGTGGTCGTAAGGTGGCCGGTGCCAGTCGTGGTGGCAACCCCCGTACCCGCTGGTGGACACCAGAGGTTCGGGGAACCGTCAGGCTGAAGAAGGAGGCCTACAGGGCGTGGCTGGTCTGTGGGTCTCCGGAGGCAGCAGACAGGTACCGGATAGCCAAGCGGGGTGCAGCAGTGGCAGTTGCCGAGGCAAAATCTCGGGCGTGGGAGGAGTTTGGTGAGGCCATGGAGAAAGACTATCGATCGGCTCCAAAGAGGTTCTGGCAAACTGTCCGGTGCCTCAGGAGAGGAAGGCAGCAACTCGCTCACACTGTTTACAGTGGGGATGGGGAGCTGCTGACGTCAACTGAGGCTATAGTCGGACGGTGGAAGGAATACTTTGAGGAGCTCCTCAATCCCACCAATGCGCATTCCGAGGAGGAACCAGAGCTGGGAGGCCTGGGGATGGACTGTCCGATCTCGGGGGCAGAAGTTGCTGAGGTAGTCAAACAACTACACAGCGGCGGAGCCCCGGGGGCGGATGAGGTTCGTCCTGGGTATCTCAAGGCTATGGATGTTGTAGGGCTGTCATGGTTGACACGTCTCTACAACATTGCGTGGTCATCGGGGGCAGTTCCTAGGGAGTGGCAGACCGGGGTTGTGGTCCCCATCTTTAAGAAGGGTGACCTGAGGGTGTGTTCCAACTATAGGGGGATCACACTCCTCAGCCTCCCTGGAAAGGTCTACTCCAAGGTACTGGAGAGGAGGGTCCGATCGATAGTTGAATCTCAGATAGAGGAGGAGCAATGTGGTTTTCGTCCTGGCCGTGGAACTGTGGACCAGCTCTATACCCTTGCAAGGGTGATGGAGGGGGCATGGGAGTTTGCCCAACCAATCCACATGTGCTTTGTGGATTTGGAGAAGGCTTATGACCGTGTCCCCAGGGGCATCCTGTGGGGGACGCTTCAGGAGTATGGGGTGGGTGGCTTTCTAAGGGCCATTCAGTCCCTTAGAGGAGCGTGAGTTTGGTCCGCATAGCCGGTAGTAAGTCGGACCTGTTCCCAGTGAGGGTTGGACTCCGCCAGGGCTGCCCTTTGTCACCGGTTCTGTTCATCACTTTTATGGACAGAATTTCTAGACGCAGCCGTGGTGTGGAGTGTGTCGAGTTTGGTGGCAGGAGAATCTCGTCTCTGCTTTTTGCGGATGATGTGGTCCTCCTAGCTTCATCCAGCTCTGACCTTCAGCTCTTGCTGGGTAGGTTCGCGGCCGAATGTGAAGCGGCTGGGATGAGGATCAGCACCTCCAAATCTGAGACCATGGTTCTCGACCGGAAAAGGGTGGCTTGCCACCTCCGGGTCGGGGGAGAGGTCCTACCTCAAGTGGAGGAGTTTAAGTATCTCGGGGTCTTGTTCACGAGTGAGGGTAGGAGGGATCGGGAGATCGACAGGCGGATTGGTTCGGCGTCTGCAGTGATGCGGACGCTGAGCCGATCTGTCGTGGGGAAGAGGGAGCTGAGCCAGAAAGCCAGGCTCTCGATTTACCGGTCGATCTACGTCCCAATCCTCACCTATGGTCATGAGCATTGGGTAATGACCGAAAGAACGAGATCGCGGATACAAGCGGCCGAAATGAGTTTCCTCCGTTGGGTGGCCGGGCTCAGCCTTAGAGATAGGGTGAGGAGCTCGGACATTCGGGAGGGACTCGGAGTAGAACCGCTGCTCCTCCGGATCGAAAGGAGCCAGTTGAGGTGGTTTGGGCATCTGGCCAGGATGCCTCCTGGACGCCTCCCCGGGGAGGTGTTTCGGGCATGTCCTGCCGGCAGAAGGCCCCCGGGTCGACCCAGGACACGTTGGAGAGGTTACATCTCCAATCTGGTCCGGGAACGCCTTGGGGTCCTGCCGGAGGAGCTGGTGGACAAGGCCGGGGAGAGGACGGCCTGGAGCTCCCTAGTTGGGATGCTGCCCCCGCGACCCGGACCCGGATAAGCGGAGGAAGACGAAGACGAAGACGAAGACGACGAATAAACATTAATGAACCATAAAATTTATATAAAATATAGTTCAAAAGTTAAAAAACAAAAAAGATTTATAAAAACAATACAACACAGCAGGATCCCACCTTATAAGGTTTGAAGAATCTTCAAGAATTCCTTGTGACACTCTTGGACCAAAGATTACACAATAAAATAAAATAAAATAAAATAAAATTTAATAGCAGCTACATTAGGAAAGTAAAATAATTACAAACCCACAAAAACATAAAACCGAACCTGCAGTAAATAAATAAAATAAAAATAAACATGGAATGAAAAAATATTACTTCTATGATACAGTTTTAAAACACACCCATACTTTTAAACATGGAGCGTCTGACTCAGACTCCTCCAAACGCACACAGAGCAACCATGTGACCTGACTCCCCCGTTCCGGTTACAGAGGGAGGGAGGAAAGGCGGAGGTGAAGGGGAAGGGAGGATTTCCTCACATGAGGAGCAGAGAGTCCAACAGTCAGCAGCAGTTTTCCAACATGTAATTTCTTTTCCCGGCGCAGACTAGAACCCGGAGAGACCCCGGCCTCTGATGGAGAGCAGCTGCACCAACAAGTGGAGGGACTTTTATTAACTGACTCTTTTGTTTTTCGCCACCGGCTGGGTCACTGAGCTGCGCAGAAACTCTGGGTTTAACCACCGCCTGCCACAAGCAAGAAAGATGCACAGTAAAATGACCATTTAGTGTCTCTAAGTGTTTTTGTTTTATTATAGAAATGATTTTCCTGACAGAATGACTGGATCACCTGAACCTGTGACCTAAAAAACTTTATGATTCTCTTGGAAATAAGTGAGGAAAGCTAGGATTCAACTGTGCTTTAATTGTAACTTTAATGACATTATTAATTTTATTATTAATATTATTATTATTACTGCATGCAAAACCGTTGTTTTCCACATTATTAATGTTTTTCTGTTCTACTTTGTGTCGTTTTCTGATGAAGCAGTAACAAACGGGCTGCCTGAGCCTTAGTTGGCGGGACAATGATGCTGTTTGCATCCATCCATTTCAGCAATGAAGTAATGGTAGCTTCCAGCCTGACGGTTAACTTGTCACAGACGCTGCCTCATCAAATGAGTCTGCACTGACTCACGTTGGTCCGCTTGGCACAGCATGGGCAACTCTTCCAGGAAGGACGAGGGGGAGGAAGAGGAAGAGGAGGGGGCAAAGAAAGGTGATGAAGAGGATGAAATTTCAGAAACAAAGGAGGAAGAAGTAGAGGAAGAGCTCCCATTGGGGGTGGAGGAGTTGTTAGAGAGTGGAGATCCTGTCTTAGATTTGAGTTGTCGTAAATTTAAAAAGTTACCTTCACGCGTTTGTGGACTGATGCATCTGGAGAAGCTTTATGTTTGTGAAAATCGTCTTCGCACAGTTCCTGACAGCATCTTCCAGCTGCAGGGTCTGAAGACGCTCGCCCTGGACTTCAACAAGTTGGAAGACGTTCCCTTGGCTGTTTGCGAGCTGACAGGACTCACTCGTCTCTACCTGGGTAGCAACCGACTGATGAGTCTCCCGCCTGAAATCAAGAACCTGAAGAATCTGAGGTGCCTGTCGGTGGAGAGCAACTTCTTCCAGAGATTTCCACGGGAGGTGTATGACCTGCCCCACCTGAAGTCCCTGCAAATCGGAGACAACCGTCTGAAAACGCTCCCTCCTGACCTCACACGCATGGAAGCACTGAGAGGGTTGTGGCTCTACACAAACCGCTTTGAGACCTTCCCCAATGTCCTGCTTCACATGAAGAACTTGGAGATCCTAGACCTGGACAAAAACAAATTATCAGAGCTTCCCAGTCTGAAGCGCCTCAAATGCCTCCACCTGTTTTCCTACGACCACAATCCTATCAAGCAGCCTCCTGCAGTTGGCGAGGAGGTGATTCTGGTTGGCGAAGGGGCCGCTGAGTTTATGGAGATCCGTGAGGCAAGGAAGGAGAGGCGACGGAAAGCCGCTGAGCAAGAGGCGGAGGAATTGACTATGGCTGGAGAGGAGCCGGTGATTCACGGCATCCTCAAGAACAGCAACTCAAAACCGGCATCAAATGAGGAGGAGGTGACCGCCGAAGATTCAGACGTTAAAGATGAAGACGCTCTGATGATGGAGGAGGAGGAGGGGGAGGAGGGAGGGGAAGAGGAGGACTTAGACGTGGAGCAACCAGTGACGGATTATGAAGGAGTGGATCTTGAATATGATGAGGAGGTGGTTGAGTATGAGACAGAGGAGATGATATGTGAAGGAGAAGGGGTTGAATATGAGGGAGAGGAGCTGGAGTATGAAAACACTCCCATGGACTATGTCTATGAAGATGGGGAGGAACTGGAAGACACGGGGAGACAAGATGAAGGTGCATAAGAATCTGCCCAGGTGGACTCGTATTAAACATACAGCTTAAAACAACGTGGACAAGCTGTGCTGCTGATTCACAACCTTTCAACTGTGAAAATGACCTTAATTCATACATTTCTAATGAAACAGGTGACATCTCAGTCAGATGATGAAGTGTGGGTGTGTCTGTGAGTGTGTGATGAAGTACATTTAACAACATTAACTATTTAAGAAAATCTGCATCCATCATTTAGGTCACAAATGTCTTTAGACTAATATCTCTGCTGACAGTTTCATGTGTTCATCTGTAACATTCCAGGTTGTGTGTGTGTGCATGTAGATGTCTGTGCTGGACTTGAGTTTACAAAATATGTACGGCACACTAAACACAAAGCCTCCTGTCTGAATTGTGTAAGCAGCCCAGTGTGTCAGCGCCAAGAAGCAGCGTCACACATCAGAGGGAAGAGCAGCCGAGGTGTTTCACCATAAAAGGTTACATTCTTAAGGAGGCTTTGAAGATAAAGTAGATGGGAGGAAATTAAGAATGTTTTTTATCGACTGGAGCAAAAAACCTGGATGTCCTGCAGGTCAAAACCTTGTGTCTTCTTTTTGTCATCGACAAGAAGCAGGGCCTTCGTTCTTCTCTCACCTCTGCACTCAGTATTCATAATGGGCTCGAGTGTAATCCAATCCTCTTTATCTGCTCAGATCTTTTTCTCACATCTCATTAACAGAGTGAAATATTTATCTCAGCGCTGGAATATTAATGCCTGCACTCGTGTGGCAGCACGCCGTCTCGTCTGTCAGTGCCAAGGATGCTGAAGAGCTGATGTGACTCGCTCATTTTCACACGAAATTTAGAAAACACAGTCAAATTTTAAAACCTTATGTTGGATTCAACGGATTAGCCATAACATCATGACCATTGACAGATGCATTCAGTGCTAGAAACCCAGAAAAATTACAGTAAATTCATTACAGTTTCATTGATGTAATTACTGTTCATTCGATACGACTCTGTTCATAACTCTAATGGACAGGATTTCTAGGCAGGGATGTTGAGGGGATCCGTTTTGGTGGCCTGAGGATCAGGTCCCAGCTTTTTGAATATGATGTGGTCCTGTTGGCTTCATCAGAACACGATCTCCAGTTTTCACTGGAATGGTTTGCAGCTGAGATGAAAATCAGTTCCTTTAAATCCATCCGGGCTCTCCTGCAGAGATAGTGTGTAAAGCTGATCCAGGAGGGGCTTGGAGTAGATCTGCTGCTCTGCCACATCGAGAAGAACCAGTTGAGGTGCCTCGGGCATCTAGTTTTAGGATGCCTCCTGGATGCCACCTTGGTGAGGTTTTCTGGGCATGTCCAACTGGGAGGTGACCTGAAGGGAGACCCAGGACACGCTGGAGGGACTATGTCTCTCACCTGGCCAGGGAACGCCTTGGGATTACCCCAGTGGAGCTAGCCCAAGTGGCTGGGGAGAGGGAAGTCTGAGTCTCTCTGCTTAGGCTGCTGCCCCTGCGACCCGACTCCGAATAAGAAGACAATAGTGGATGGATGGATACATGAATAATGTTAATGCAATGACCTCTGCTAGACTTTTGCAGTTATGATGCTGTTGACAAAATTAGAGATGTGTTAAAGCTAACACCCTCTGGATAGCATACTCACTTTGCCAATGCTAACTCTACAGAAACCTGTGAATCTCAGTTTTTGGAGTAATTGCCCAACATCTCATAATTTATTCATTTGTGAAAGCCTAACATTAAACTACATCTAACTGTTTTGCCCTAAAATAATTACATTTTTTTCTTTAATAAAAGCACAAAAACGACATAAATTATACAATAAAATTTCTAACTTTACTATTATATGGCTATTAAATATGTGGTATGACTTAAATGAATAATGATGTTTTTGAAAAGGGATAAAATTTTGACCAATTAGGCAGCGGCTAATGCTTTCCCCTTCCTGTGATTTATTCTGCTGAATATAGCTAATACTCACTTCCATCAATAAAACCAGAAAGCATTCTTAAACACCATAAAAACGTTAAAGCTCAGTCACTACCAGCTTAAATCTGATGTTAACATTCATGAATGCAGATTTAGGAAGCCTGAGCTACGTGTGTTGATTTTTACTAGAGGAATGACTTACATGCCTTCATTTTCTGTCTAGCAAGGATTTGGTTCTGTTCTGCACTAAATTAGTGGAAACTGTATTTGTAGAGGAAATAGTGGCATCCAGGTGACCCAGTATGAAAAACAAGGGATAGATTTGAAATGAACATTTTTAGAGAAAGAAAAAGGTAGATCTCCACATAAGGAAGCCCAGAAGCACACAAAGAGGTAAACGCTCAAACAAGACAGAATTAAGAGGCTACAGCATTTAGGGTAAACCAATGAAAACCAGTACGTCGCTGAGGGATGGGGATTAAATACTGCGAGATTATCACAAAAAAATTTAAGATAAACAAACAAACAAAGCACAAGCACAAGCCCCAACATCTTAACAATTGGGTGTATAATGATTATAAGGGTTAGTAAGTTCTTCTCTGTGTGTGAGGAAACTCTGCAGATCCAGAAGCCAGCCTTCGTTCCAGAGCGGGTCCACAGCAGCATGAAGCTGTTATAATTCACACACCATGTCTCTGTTGGAATCTCTGTCCTCCCACTCAGACCAAAGTCTGCCGCTCGTCCTTCAGCTCTGGGTGACTGAACCATCTGACACTCCACAGAAGCTCATTCACATCAGCACCACCAGCAGGCAAAAGTGTCTTGCCCCAGGACACAACAGCAGAATTCTCTGTTCAGAGTTGGGATTGAACCTGCAACCTTCTGATTACTGGACAACCTGCTCTACTTCCTGAGCTATTGCTGTCCCCAGACATCTGCTTCAGCCCTTAACTGATCCCAAACACACCAATAAACGGTTTGGCAATTAGTACAAACTAAATACCCAAAAGGATGTGCTGACGAAGATTGTTAGCTTCATGATGTAATCCATGCAGGTTTAAGAAGCTTTTAAAGTCAACCTGTGAAGTCAAAGGACATTTGAGTCTAAGTGGCACGTGTCTGATCGTTTGTGTGTCAACATTTGGGCGTGTTACCGTCCATGTCTCGATGATGAAAGCCCGTTTTTATTTTGCTGGCGATGATTCGGGCTGCGGGATCAAAACGCAGCGTTCTCACATCACCGTGATCGCAAAAGCTGGAATGAAATAAATAAAACATGTTCTATGGACGGTATTTTATTTCTATTCCAATTAATTTTGTGTCATAAAGTTTCTCTATATAAGATTTTTATTTCAGATACAAACATTATCAGACACACCTCATAGTAGGAGAACTTCCATCACAACCAAAAGCACCAATCACACATACTTGCTCTCATAAGTTGTAGTAAAGTGTGAAGAATCAAAATACGTTTGAGGAAAAAAAGTCATCCTTTGGGATATTTGAGAGATTCCCTGTGAGCTCCTGAAAACAGCGAAAAAACAGAAGAGTTTAGATTTACAAAACAATAAACTTAAACCAGAGCATTGCTTTCCATGAATAAAAAGAGTACATTTTTAACCTTATTTTCCGATGATATTTATTGTTGGTACTCTACTTCTAGTCTAGCGTGATAGCAGAAGGGAGCTCTAAGGCAATAAAAAGAAAAATCAGAATCAGAATCAGAAGTTTTTTATTGCCATATGTTTGCCAAGTCACAACATTAGGAAATTGCTGCGGTATTTTGGTGCAGAAGGTAAGAAAAAAAATTAATTAAGAGATAAGCAATATAAGAACTAATAAAAAACCCATGATAAAATTATTAATGTAAAAAGTGGCGGGAATTAGAGAAGCAGCTATCTACCCCATGTAGGTATTAATCTGAGTGTTTTCTGAATGTTTCAAGTACAGCGTCGGGTCCCGTGACTGGGACCAATCAACTTGAGTGGTCTGCCCTAGGATGTTCATTCAAAAGTCCAACTGCAGAGGGGAAGAAACAGTTTTTGTGGCGAGAGGTTCTGGTCCGAATGGATCTGAGCCTTCTGCCAGATGGGAGCGAGTCGAAGAGACGGTGTTCAGGGTGAGACGAGTCAGCTATTATACGACCTGCACGCCTCAATGTCCTAGAGGTGTACAGATCTTGAATGGAGGTGAGTTTGCAGCCAATGACCTTCTCTGCAGAGCGCACGACACGCTGCAGCCTCTTCTTGTCCCTGGTGGTAGCTCCAGCGTACCACACGGTGATGGAGGAGGTGAGGATGGACTCGATGATAGCGGTGTAGAATTGCCTCATTGACTGTGGTGATAGGTTGAATTTCTTCAACTGCCTCAGGAAGTACATCCTCTGCTGGGCCTTTTTTCTGATGGAGGTGATGGTGGGCTCCCATTTGAGGTCCTGGGTGATGGTGGTGCCCAGGAAGCGACATGAGTCCACCATCGTGATGGGAGTGTCAGACAGGTTTAAGGGAGGGGATGGGGTGTGTGTGTTTCCTAAAGTCCACACTAACCTCCGCTGTCTTCTGGGTGTTTAGCACCAGGTTGTTGTGGCTGCACCAGGACACCAGCCGCTCAGCCTCCATTCTGTAAGCGGACTCATCCCCGTTAGAAATGAGTCCGATGATGGTGGTGTCGTCAGCAAACTTAATTGGTTTGACAGACTCATGCTTGGAGGTGCAGCTGTTGGTGTACAGGGAGAAGAGCAGAGGGGAAAGAACACAGCCTTCTGGTGAGCTGGTGCTGATGGTCCGTTGGTCCGAGACATTCTTACCCAGCCTGACTTGTTGTTTCCTGTCTGTCAGGAAGTCAGTGATCCACCTGCAGATGCAGTAAAACATCAGATTCATGCTTCAATCTGGTAAAAACTGAACATGAACTCCAGACTCACTGGGTGGGACAAAGGAGTGATGGATCCTCGTGAGAATCCAGTTGCTCGACAGGATCGGATGCTCAGACCCAGCATCGCCTCAGTGACCTTAAATGCAGAAAAATAAAGGCCACCAAATTAAATCAACACTTTTTATTTCAACCTGAAGGAATTTACTGTCGGTGCGTGACCTGCAGAACAGACAGTCGTAAAATCGCTTTCATCACTGAGCTGGAAGTCTGACGAGGTTCAAACTGAAAATCAGTCGAAGGTGTAACAGAAAACAGATTAAATATGACCCTAACATACATAAATAAATTATTTCCTGTTATTGACTCGTGAAATGTGTGTGACCATTAAAAACACAAGTTATAGACTCTTCAACAGCTGTTCTCCTCCTGAAAGGTGTGAAGCTGCAGCTCTCTCCCTTTAGTAAAACCAGTTTCTGTTTTTGGACCAACAACTGTGTGGTTTTCAACGGCTGCAGCAAATGAAAACCATATCGGCTCATCCACATGATCACATTTGGACATCATTTGTAAACTGGTGTTGTTTTCAGGATGGTTTTTCTCACTACTGTTGTAAAAATCATGAAACAGCAGTCGTGTTTGATTTTTACATGATGTGAGACGATGGGGCACCAACAAGTCTTGGTATTCAGTCTAAAAAACACGAAAATACAATAAGATGGTTTCTGTAACTGACTTTGATCAAGCTGCATGTCTGTGCTGTCAGCGTAGCACCTTGTCCTCCACGGGTCCTCAGCTGATGGAGGCGACTGTCTCCTAGTTCGTCAGCGATGTTTGGAAAAGATCCAGAGAAACCGGATTTAATGTGAGGCTTATAGTCCTTCTTAATTTGAGACATGACACTGTCAGATGACAAGAACACACACACACACACACACGCACGCACGCACGCACACACACACACACACACACACAGCTGTGAATTTGAAAATTAGAACTAATATGAAGTCAAAACGTGTTTGAATGAAAGCAGCCTGCATTTTGTTTTCATCCACCAGAAGACATTGTGACCTTTAAAATCCACCAGTGTGTATTTGATGATAACTTAAGAGAGCTCCTGGCATTTTGCAGATTCGGATGTTCATTTAGTCCATTCCTGTTGTGATCTTTGAGGAGCAAAGCTTTATAAAGGCCTAAGCTGTTAGAGGTTTCAGACAACAAAACATCGCAAAACCCTATGTCTTATTTAAATTCAAGCATTTTACAGATTTTGTGTTGTCTTTTATTTTACCTTTGTTTATGATGCACTGGTACATCTTTGGAGCTCGGATATAAGATATTTTCCTGCAATGTTCTGAGTATTTAGTGATGAAGTGTTTCATGATGGTAGGATTGGGCAGGAGTTTCTCCCGTCTGCTGGGGTGAACAATGAGCTGAGTTCAAAATAAAATTGGTTCCAACCCAAGGTTTGGATCATGACTGAAGGAATGAGATCTCTGATATAAGTTGTTGAAATGAGTTTCCTCTGCTGGAGGTCTGGATTCAGCTGGAATAAGGAAGAGAAGCTCTACCATATCTGGGTGGAGCTTGGAGTGAAACGTCAGCTCTTGAAAGGAGTCAGCTGAGGTGGTTCATGCATCTGATTGGGATGCCTCTACTGGAGGGTTTCCAGGCATGCCCCACTTAGCCTGACCAGCCAGGCCAATGCTTCCTTAAGGGCAGCAAAGGGCCCGGTAAGGGCCAGACGCCATCTTTGACTACAGCTAAAAAACTACAGCGTCGCGTGATACAGTCGGTTGGCAGCTGACAGCTGGCAGCTGGCTAGTCCCGCCCCTCATGGTGCTCTCTGCCTGTATCCAGACTCCTGTAGAATAGACAGAGGGTGAGTCTGACAGGCCAGGCTGTGTCCCATTGACCAGAGACATCTGAACACAGAACTTGCATAAAGGAGACTTTAATATTGATCTGGACAATGTAAATAACTCAAAGACTGCAAACGACTTTATAAATTAAATGTATCTACTGGGTCTGTTTCCACTGATAACCAAACCAACAAGAATAAATGCACACAGTTCAAATATAATAGATAATATATTACTAACGTTGCAAGGGAAACAGAGAGAAGTGGAATTGTAATGACAGACATCAGTGATCACCTGCCAATGTTTACAGTCTATAAAAATAATCGCATTAAATTTCAACATAAACGCAAAGACTAATAAGAGATAGGTCACAAAACGCTATAGATGCGCTAAAAAGAGAATTGGAACAACAAAACTGGGAAACAGTTTATGTTAAAGATGTAAACATGGCTTACAACTCCTTTTTAAAGAATATTGTGTAATCAATATGATAAGTGTCACGAGCGTGTGGCGAGGTGAGCTGAGGTGAGGCAAGGATCCACACGCGGGGAGGAAAACAGGCAGGCAGGTGAGGACTTCTAACATCGATTTATTGGAAACACACGCTGGAACACTGAAACAATGACACGACAGGGAACACAGAACAGAAGGGGTTTAAATACAAGAGGAGCGGGAGCTATGGTGATTGGGAAACAAGAGGCAGGTGGGAGCAATTAACGGAGAACAGACAAAACCTAAGAGTAGACAGGACAGGGCGTGACAGTACCCCCCCCCCCCCTCAAAGGGCGGATCCCAGACGCCCACAGGAACAAGGAGCAGGGCGGGAGGAGGGGGACCCGGAGGGAGGGCCCAGAGGAACCGAGGGACCACAGGAGAGGCGGCAGGGATCAGCAGAGTCAGGAGGTCTGTGCCTGCTGCAGATGAGGAGGCGACGGGCCCTTGGAGGTCGGCGCCTGCTGCAGATGAGGAGGCGACAGGCCCTTGGAGGCCGGCGCCTGGGGCAGATGAGGAGGCGACGGGCCCTTGGAGGCCGGCGCCTGGGGCAGATGAGGAGACGAGGACGAACCCTAGGGGGCCTGCGTCTGGGGCAGATGAGGAGGCGACAGGCCCTTGGAGGCCTGTGCCAGGGGCAGATGAGGAGATGGGGACGGACCCTTGGGGGCCTGCGCCTGGGGCAGATGAGGAGGCGACGGGCCCTGGGAGGGCGGCGCCTGCGGTAGAGGAGCCCTGCAGGCTGGGCCGGGGACACAGGCAGGACCGGCGACAAAGTCCCTGCAGGCTGGACCGGAGCGACCTTCAGAGTCACCATCAGAACCGGACACGGAGGAGACGTCAGACCAGACGCGACGTCATCGGACGAGCCGACTTCAGGATGGCAGGCGGCGACGTCATCGGACGAGCCGACTTCAGGAGTGGAGGCGGCGACGTCATCGGACGAGCCGACTTCAGGAGTGCAGGCGGCGATGTCATCGGACGAGCCGACTTCAGGAGTGCAGGCGGCGACGTCATCAGACGAGCCGACTTCAGGAGTGCAGGCGGCGACGTCATCGGACGAGCCGACTTCAGGAGTGGAGGCGGCGACGTCATCGGACGAGCCCACTTCAGGAGTGGAGGCGGCGACGTCATCGGACGAGCCCACTTCAGGAGTGGAGGCGGCGACGTCATCAGACGAGCCG